TTTTTTGCCTTAAACATTGTTTTATTGTCTGTTTGGGTCAGTTTATAGCATATAATTGATAAATATAAATAACAAGCAAATGGTTAGCTCAAAGGGGCAATGATTACTACATTTTTATCTTCAAAAATAAATCCTTAATGATGTATGAAAAAAATACAAAGTCAAGATGACTTACCTTGAGACTGCACTTGGTATTTTAAATCTAAGTACTTTTCCAGATGTTGTGATGGCTCCAATGAATCTCCAGGAAGCTATATGATCCGTTGTCGCGCGCGGATCAAAACGAGTGTTTTTACGCAACGGTTTCAAAACTGTAGTATTTAGGGCGGATCAAATTGAGTGTTTTTACGCAACAGTTTCAAAACTGTAGTATTTAGCGACAAATGGCTCAAATATCGTTCTCAAGGATTCTTGAAATATTATTAACTAACTGAAATCGAATTAAAGGGGGGGTTTGGTTCGATTTTAGGCAAATAAGCTGATTATGAAAAGTGATTATAAAATAAGCTGTTTTTGATATGAGTGATTATAACAAATAGATTCACTGCCTCGGTTCGTACCTATCATCGACTGCTAACATTACAATCTCCTAAGCGAAGTTTCTATCCTATTTGATTACAGTATCAATTAACAAGCGCGATTGACACTATGAGATACATGTTCCTATGGCTGGATTAAGCATACGGTTAAAAGTGGCGCAAATTAACAATTAAGCAAAGTCAATCGCAATTAAAATTTGGGAACATTTATCAATCAAATTAAATCAACAATGTTATATGAAAATCGAATTAAGCAAACAACAATCTCATAACATAGTTGAAAGGAATCGAAATTAAATTGCAAATGCTATAACAATCTCAAAGTTGGAACCTGAGTATAGTAAATCCGTCAAAAAGGTTTTAGTTCTCCATTGATTCGTACAAAACTTTCTCTTTTTTGTGAACAGTGAATGGGATCCTCCAAAATTACTGTAGCATCTAGGTAAAAACTAAAAAGAAACAACCCAACTGGGTCGGATACAAAACTCAGGCCCAAAACAAATGACCCAACTTAAATATAAAATTCTACAACTTCAATGACTTTTTCAACCTTGCTACAGCCCGAATCAGCATCTGGTCACAACTAGAAAGTTGTAGGTCTTTTTCTTAGCTTTCCAACCAATATTAGAACGCCTCAATCCGATTCTCGTAGCTCCAGTTATGAATTTTTCCTTGAAAGCTGCAGTTGCTGAAAATAAAATACGAAAATTAATTAAATGCAAAAATAAAATAAATTAGCAAAACATATTAAAACATAAAAATAAACACAATAAACTAAATAAATGCATTAGTACAATCGTGGAAGGATGTGCATCAAAATGCACTGATCACTATCCCAAACCGTTGAGTCACACTAACTCAGTCAAGTTATACAATACTGTTTTTTGTGTTTGGAGGGTGAAGATAATGGCACTACAGAAATTGTTCTTGTGTTTGAACAATCTCTATGTGATAAGGTATTTGGTTTATGGGAGAGTTTGTAAGATAAAATAATGGATTGAGGATTTCTGTTTTGAATGAAAGTAGAGCTGGTTTTTTGTATGAGCAAAGGTTACAAAGAATGTTGTTTTCTTTTTTTGTTCAAAAACTCTCTATTCTCTCTCTAAAAGCCAACCCCTTGTTTGTTGTGAAAACAGTCTGTTTATAGAGGAAGTTTTGTTGGGATTTTAGGAGGGAAACAAATAACAATTTGAACTGTTTGGGTATGTTGTCTCTATAGCTTTTTTGATACAGCTCTTATATGCTAACTTGGTGCAAATATGGGGCTGAGATAATGCAGACTTGGATTGGGTTTGGAGCAGCAAAGAAGGGTTGTTTTGCAACAGTTTTGGAGTGTTGTGGCAGTGTTTAGAGATAGCATAGCAGGGCTATTTTGCTCAGGACAACAAACTGTCTTCTAAACATGATTTTGAGCTGTTATGTGGGCAACACAGCAGGCTTGAACAATATTGTTTGTAGCATGATACAAAATCTGGTTTGTGAACCAATTTATGCAGATTGTAACAAAGACAAAGCATGTTTGTGGGTAGCATAGTGGCAAGGTTTGAGTCAAAGGGAAAGAGTTCAAACAAGACCAAACTTATGATTTGTAATCTTGCAAAAATGTCACTTTGTAATAACTTGAATTATTTGCAACATCTTGAATTATTTTGAATTGTAGTGAAAAATGTCATGAAGCAATGAAATTAACAAGTATAGAAAATACTTACAAAAATTTCTAAGTCTTGCAAAGTTGGATTTTTGACTCTCTTGATTTTTGATGATAAAATTTTATATTTTGGATGTCTTGATGAAAATGTGATTTTTGGGACTCAACTTTGATCAAAAAGTCAAAGTTTGACTTTTTAGTGTACAATTGACTTTTTCCACCAGTTGACGAATTTTGTCTATCAACCCACTGATCTCAGCAGATGAATTGAAATATGTGATTTGGTCAAAATGACGCGCTCAGATCCTTGAGATCATGCCTCCAACCAATAAGTCGGGTATTACGTCAAAAATCAAAGTTCGGTCATTTCCAGTCAAAACCCTAATTTTGCCCATTTCACCTTTTTGATAATTAGAATGACTTTCTCGTAAAATTGTGATCCAAAGCTTGAAACTTGACATAAATAATCATGAGGGTCCATAATGATCCATGAAAGTCATTTAAAACATTAGAAACCCAAATGCATTTGTACAAACTCAAACCCTAATTTGAGGCATTAGTATTGAGGAGATTATTTGGCCTAGTCGATGCTTACGCAAACTTGAGTCATTGAAGATCTTTGTAGGAAATATCTTGAGAACAAGAGAGGGAAAATTTTGGGGTACAACGCTTACGCTTCCTTCCTATCAGCAAAATACGCATTTAGAACCAAACTTCAAAACTTAGAAAATAGAAACCATAAGTTATAAAACTTGCATTAATTGAACTGCTGCTCTCGCTGCCTGCCACAATTGTTGCTTTCTCTGTCGTCATTATGGTCTTTTTCTTCGTGTTCAAGTTCTCTTCGTTAATTTTCATTTTTTTACCTATGTTGTTTCTCCTTCAACACGATTTCTTCTAGGCTTGTTCAAAATAGTTTTGATGTGTGTTTGAGGATTGAAATATGTTAATTGATGTGTGTTTTATTTGTTAAGCTTTCAAATCTTTTTTCAACCTTCTAATGCCAAGTGTCAACTTTTATATTTGATTGAGAACCTATTTCATGATACAATGTTAATCATGTTGTTGTTTTGCATGAATTAAAAGTAACTTATAATTTGTTTGAAAAAATAGAGCATGAAATAAATTACATGAAATATATTATTTTAAAAATTAATAGCATAAAATACACCGAGAAATACAATAGTGGAGAATACACTGATGAATATAATGTTTGAAAAAAACATTGTAAACTGATCAATCGAACTAAACTAAACTGAACCAAATCAGTTAGTTTGGTTCGGTTCCATTTTTTAAAAATGTTTAAAACCAAACCAAACTAAATCGATATAGATATCATTTATTCAAATTTTTTGGATCAAAAAATCAATTCAAACTTATTTGATAACACCCTTTGCCTCAATATTCCTGAAATATTCACAAAATTTTACAAAAAAATTATTAGTTTTGCAACGAAATAAGTGTAGAATTTCAATGTGTGACGAAAGAAACCACCTGAAAAACAAAATAGTTTTATGAGTACTTAAACTGGTAAAGAATTGAAACCAATTTCTTTATAAAAAAATTGAAAGAATTTGGTAGTATACTGTTTTCCGTTGACGTTTGTTTGATTCATAATATCCAAATTAGCATACGTCATTATTAGTTTATGTTAAGAGTAAGGGTGGAAATAGACTGGATCGAGTTAGGCTTTAATAAGTCTGAGTCTGGTCTGCCAAAAAAAAATAGAAGTTTAAGTCTAATTTGTATTCTGTCATAGACTTATTTTTAGGTCTGAGTCTGATCTTTTCTAAATCCTAGTTAATTTGTTAACTTATATAAAAGCCTATTATTTTATACATATATAAATAACAAATTTAAATAATATTTAAATAAACTAATAAACTAAAAATCAATGAGACAAAAAATTTGTTTGCATTAATTTATTTTAACTTATTAATTAGTATAATTTTTATGAGACTATTTGTTTAAGAGGACTTGTGAAAACAACTTATAATATTATTCATAACGTATTTTCATCTTTTTGTTATAAGTTCTTCAAAATAATCAAATATTATTTATATATTTTAAATATAAAACATAACTTAATGATAATAAAAAAGTTATTCATATTTAATTATATAAACCAATCTATTAGATTTAAAAGGTTTTTTTTTCATGGTTTGAGATCTAATTTTTTTAAATTACTAGATTTATAAAAAAGTAAGTCTAATATGAGTCTACGTAGAATAGACCTATGGCCCGTTTCCACCTTTAGTTACGAAGGACACTAAGGGCATATTAGTCTTTCCAAAACTAGTTAGTTGGTTCGTTCAACTTCAACAAGGACATAGCCGTTTTCCATAGGTTTTGAAAATGTGAGGATTATGATTAATCATCACAACGATTAAATCTCAACTAATCTTTAATTAATCAATAAACTCTGCATTTCATTTTCTTCCTCTGTTTCGCATTCGAACCAAAAACTTTCACAACCTTCGCTCTTTCTTCACCGGAAAATAACAAAATCAAACGCCATTTTGCGGTTACGCATCGGAAAATTCAGTTTCAGCACCGTCGCTATTGTTTTCAGATCTGAATCGCAAATCTCGAGTGCCGGGAATTTCTGTTCATTTCTCGGATTCGGTTTCTTCTCACTTTCATGTTCTTCTCGTGAGTTTCGCGTTTAATTTCATTCAATTTTCGTAGATTTTATTTTTGTTAATTAATTTTTTGTTTTCTAATTGTGATGATTCTGTATTAAGAAGCGCGTGTGTAACAGATCTTGAAAATTGGCGCCTCAACGACGTTCCCAGCGTCACGTGGCTGGCCAGATGCCGCCACAGGGTAATGCCGCTGCAGCCGCGGCTATCTATGATCATGCTGCCGGCGGCTCCCTGCAAAGTTCATCCACTGATGCTGGAGACGCCGTTATGGCGCGGTGGCTTCAGTCTGCCGGCTTGCAGCATCTCGGCTCTCCATTTGCCTCGTCCGGCATTGATCATCGCCTCTTCCCCAACCTTCTAATGCAGGTATCCTCGTTTTTCTTCCAAAGATAGAAACGTCTTATGTATTGTATTCTCTGCTCTTGATTTTGTAATTTTATTATTTAGCCTTTGAGTTATTTAAAATTTGTTGCGCTTGGTTATGAGATTATATGTGTATATATGCTTTGTGAAATTGGAGTTTGAGCTATTTCTCGAGTGGCGCAGTTTGTTGCCGTTTTGCCTTCTTTTCTGTATAAATTTTACTGTGTTTAAAATGAAATTATAATTTGAGGGATAATTATGTATACCTGTGTTTTTTTGTAAGAGGCTTACATTTGAGTTTAGTGGGGTCAAATTTGTCAATAGTTGAGTACATTTTCTTTTTGATAGTGTATGAGTTGAGATTTTATAGTTTAGGTGAATATTTTATATGATGTTTGGGATAGGGTTATGGAGCACAGTCTACTGAAGAGAAGCAGAGGCTTTTGAAGTTAATGAGAAACCTCAATTTTAATGGAGAATCTGGTTCGGAGCTGTATATGCCCAACACTCAAACTTTGGGTGGAGTCGCAGCATCAGATGGGTTTTTTTCACCTGAGTTCAGAGGTGATTTTGGAGCTGGGCTTTTGGATCTTCATGCCATGGATGACACAGGGCTTTTGTCTGAGGTAAGAATATGATTCAATTTTATTATAATGTAGGGTTAGTTTGGCAATTTCCTGCATATTAGAAAGAAAATATGTTCGCTTGTAGTGTTGTTGTTTAATATGTATCAGCAGATGAGATTAACAAGTACTGTGTCTAAGAGCAGTTTGTGCTGAAAAGATTTATAACCTGAAAAGTTTTATAACCAGCTATACCATTTTATACAACAATTTTTGTTTGCAATGATGAATGGTTATATAACCAAGAATTACCCATCAATCTTGGATCCGTAATATCTTAACATTCAGCACTTCTGTTTCAATTTCTTTTCTTCTCAAATGGAATGTTTATGATCCCTTATTGTTCTGCATTCAGCATAAATTTCTTGCAGTAATAGTCAGTATGTATTGTCATACATGTAACTCTAATCCCCACCCTTTTTTTTTTCCAGCATATGATTTCTGAACCTTTCGAACCATCACCCATCATACCCGGAGATACTAGAGCATTTGAAGATGATTTCTATCCAACTAACAGCAAGCTTGAAAAAGAAGCAGATGTTGACGCATCAATCAATTTACCTGTGAATGAAAAAGAGAATAGCACAAGGGAGAATAATGTCGCCAAAATTAAAGTCGTGGTATGTCAATTCAAAGACACCTGTATGCACGCACAACTTCAGACTATATGTGATTTCTTTCTTTTCTAGAGATTAAAGGTAGTGCACTGTCAGTGTAAACTAGTTTTACACCATCATCCAATAGAATTATAACATTCAGCCATGTCATATCAGTATTTTAAAATTAAAAGTGTGATTTGGCGGGATACACATCCGTGATTGGTTGACAGTAGAAATACTTTACACTGTCAGTGCATACTCTTTTTTCTCTTTCTTCATATAGTTGGCTCTAGAGCAAAAGATAAAAGAATCACAAACAATACTGTCACCTTTACCACATTGTATCCCTAACTAGCTGAAGAGTTTCACCAAAATCGTCATCAGTTGGTGGAGAACATCTTTTTTTTTGAAGATTTACTACATTTTAGTTCATAGCATACTTGACTTTTGAAGTTTGAACCTTTTCATTTTGTGAAAGCAACCTTATATAGTAATACAGAGCCTCACTTAAGAGTGAGATAATCTTCCATTTGTATCAATTTCCTCCTTAAGACATGTCGATGTTGCTTTCCATTGAGAAGTACCTTTCTCTATGCTTTTATGAAATTTCTCAAATGAATCTCTCTTTCAAATTTTCATTTTATTTTATAGTTTCCTCTTTCAAAATCACAGCCACTGACACTCAAATTAATGACTTTAAAGTCCACCTCTATATAAATTAGAATCTACTCTATTGAGAGTGGCTTAATCACGTAGTAATAGTATTACCCCCACCCCCCATAAAGGATGACACACTCTGTTTTATTTTTAAATTCTTTCGAAATATTTATACATATTATATTTATAATCTGAAACATTTTTCTCTTTGAAAATGTACTTTACGATTCTATATAACCCAACTACAATTTACACATTCAGTACAATTTTAAGCATTTACTTGAGATTCTTGATGGTTAAAATGCCATTTTGATTCACTAGCATTCAGTGGATATTTGTCATTATATTAAAAAATAATTCTAATGCATGTTGTAGGTACGTAAAAGGCCTTTAAACAAGAAAGAGCTTGCTAAAAGAGAGGATGATGCTGTAACTGTATCTGACAATGCTTATTTGACAGTCTATGAACCTAAACTAAAGGTTTGCTTTGATATTGGTTCTAATACATGTACACTCTTTTTTTACACCTGCACGACACTTGGTTAGTCACGTGCAAATACGTGGTTAATTTAGTTGAACAAATGATTAATTCAACTAACAGAAAAAAATGTGGTAATTCAACTACATAAATTAACCACATTTTACAGCGTGAATTGAATTAACCATTTTCTCATATGAATTAACCCCATTGTTACATGTGATTAACCAGGTGTTCAAAAAAGGATGTACATGATACATTTTTCTATATTTTAACGTTCTCATTTTTATTTACTGCTCAAAGATCTGAATGTTTGTTTGATCTTTGACAGGTTGATCTGACAGCTTATGTGGACAAGCATGAGTTTTGTTTTGATGCCGTTCTTGATGAGCATGTTACTAATGATGAAGTAAGTCGTCTCTTATTCAAAGGTCAAACTTCACTATTGTTTACTAATATGTTAGTAACTTGTTTCACTTGTCTTCATACCATATACCTGCTCCTCTTTTGTGATACCTTAAGATTTATGAAAGTTATCTTGGGTTTGATTTGTTGGATAGATACAAGGCATGATTTGTTTATAATAACAGGTATACCGAGCTACAGTTGAACCAATTATTCCTACAATTTTTGAACGAACCAAAGCTACCTGTTTTGCTTACGGCCAGACAGGTGAGAAATTTTATTTGCTGTTATTATCATTATTATCCAGTTTTACATATTTAAATGTTTAGTTCTTTAATATGATATATTTATGCATTATATTTTGGTGTTTGAACTTTGCTAGTTTATTTATACATCGTAACATTTGCTACTGGTTCTTCATAGTGCCAGTGCTTATCTATTTATTGAACAATAAAAGATAGTGATGCTTTTGTCTTTTAATTTTGTTGTTTTTTCTGTGTGGATCATGTTGTTGAGTTGGTTCTGGCTGGTACTTGTGAAATAAGTCAAGATATTTACCATTTAATAAAAGTATCCATACTATGTAAAATATTTGTGCTGAGTGAGTGGGAGAATATTGGCTGTCTTGGTCTAGATAGACATCATATTTTTCACTTGATGCACGAAATTGAAGATTTAAAGAGTATCCTGAAAACCTTGCATTTTTCTTGAAACTGAATGTGTAATTTTTGGTGAGTTATAAAGTTAGCTTGGTCGTTGGGTTGGGGTGGGAGAGTTAAATAGGAGTGACAAGGTTAAGTCCCCACCCCCAACAATAGACTAACTATACTAAAATTCGCTATTTTTTTAGTTATTCATCCACGTTCCATTGATGTGCTTGATCCTCAGACAGCCACTTAATACTAGCTATACTAGAATTTGCTATTTTTTTATTTAATATAAGTCTCTGTAAATGTTGGCACCGTATAAGTATTCATCCACTTTCCATTGATGTGCTGGATTCTCAGACAGCCACTTAATCTTTATTTTCAGGAAGTGGCAAAACATACACAATGCAACCTTTACCGCTCAGAGCTGCAGAAGACCTTGTTCGACAGTTGCATCAGCCAGTTTACCTGAGTCAGAAATATAAATTGTGGCTTAGCTACTTTGAGATATATGGTGGAAAGCTATTTGATCTTCTTAGTGACAGAAGGTGGGTATTTCTTTCATAATATACACACATCATGATCTTTTATATGAACACTGGGGATACTATTTTAAGTGCTTTGCCTTGATTGTGCAACACCATTTTCTTCATTAAGGATTCAGCTGCTGAAATAAATGTTTGTTATAATATCAACCATCACTGCCCTACTTAATTTTATCCTACATCAAGCATTAATTTCTATGTTTTTGACTGTACTGGAATAAAATATTTATCTGTCTCATCTAATATACATTTATAAATGTTATCTTGCTTACTCAATGCTTCAACCCGCAAGTTTTATTTGTTCTTTGGTGTGTGCTGTATTAAATTACTGGTGAATGATGGTTTAATACGATATGAATAGAAAACTTTGCATGAGGGAAGATGGACGGCAGCAAGTTTGTATTGTAGGATTGCAAGAATTTGAAGTTTTTGATGTTCAAATTGTCAAAGACTTCATTGAAAAGGGAAATGCTTCAAGAAGTACAGGATCCACGGGTGCTAACGAGGAGTCCTCCAGGTCGCATGCTATCTTACAATTGGTTGTAAAGACGCACAATGAGGTGAAAGCAGGCAAGCGAAACACTGATGGAAATGAGGCAAAAAGTGGGAAGGTTGTGGGGAAGATATCTTTTATTGATCTTGCTGGAAGTGAAAGAGGTGCTGACACTACTGATAATGATCGTCAAACACGGTACTTCTACATTCAAATTATTTGCATAATATTTTGAGCTCCTTAAAGTTAACTGTGACGGTATTTTAAGCTCCTTAAAGTGAACTGCATGACGGTATTTAAAGCTCCTTAAAGTGAACTGCATGACGGTTAGAATGTTTCATCCATGAATATTTTTGAACACCGAATCTTAAGTTTACAATACATTTTATATTTTGGTGCATAAGCTGACTTTTTTAGCCTTCTAGGACATAGTATAAAGTTGGATCATTATTTAAAATGGGAAAGCTCTAAAGAACTGACAAGAGCTCTCTTTTCCTTTTTGTTTAGCTTCTTTTACTCAACATTGCCTGGACTATCTTAAAAATAAGAGCCGCGGTAATAAATATAATTATTAGTTGACGAAGGTAATGAAACGTTAGGACCCAGCCTGGAGAAAACAAAATTAGGAATGATATTAACTCTGAAAAAGCTAAAACAGAGGGAACAAATCCTTGTTACATTGAGTATATATGAGCAAACAAAATAACTGGACTGTGGATGGAGTTATTATATACTCCTTTGCAGGAATGGAAAACTAAATGGATAATAATCATAGAAAACCCTTTCCTGAGCAAGGAGAACCAACTTCTCCACTCAGCCTAGCCCAATTTTCCATTCACTATTTTCTTGATATCCTTTCTGTTACCACCCTCCTCTTATATTCAGCCTACTCCCTCTCAATTCCTTATTTTAGAATATTCTCACCCACTCACTCTGCCATGTGGCATTTCTTTTTTTCTTTCCTTTACTTTCCCTCCAAATGCACATATGGCTCCCCTCTCACTAACTCTTTCATAAACTTGCAGAGGCCTTTACTTATAGGTCCAATCTCTTTCTCTTCTGTGTAACGGGCTTATCATGAAACCATCTAATTTACTTGTACTGATTTTATTTGCTGGTTGACATTTCTTGATGAAAAGCAAACTTAAAAGCTTTTCATAGTAGCTACCAGCATCCTAACCAGTTTTATGTAGGTATATTTTTATTATCTGTCTTGGAACTTTGAATTATTGCTTTAATGTTTTTTAAAATCAACTATATTTAATGACTGAATATTATCTATTTGCACATGTTGTTTATAATAATGTGAGATTACTTTGTAAATATGGCCTACAAAAATCTTGGCTATTTGTTGTTCAGATCAAACTTTCTGCATGTTCAAAAAACAAAAGTATTAACAAAAGAAATTCACTCTGCAATTGTTGTATCTCTACCATAGGATAGAAGGAGCTGAAATCAACAAGAGCCTTTTAGCTTTAAAGGAATGCATTCGTGCTTTAGACAATGACCAAATCCATATTCCATTCCGAGGAAGCAAACTTACAGAAGTGCTGCGGGACTCTTTTGTAGGCAACTCAAAAACTGTTATGATCTCTTGTATATCTCCAGGTGCTGGATCTTGTGAACACACGCTTAACACCCTGAGATATGCTGATCGGTACGTAGTTTGGGTATATATGCCCAAATGTTACCTTCAATGGTGTTCATGTTTGCATGTACTAAATGTTTCATCTTATGTGAACAGGGTTAAAAGTCTTTCCAAAAGTGGAAATCCTAGAAAAGACCCGATCCCCAATTGTGCACCTCAAACTAATAAGGACGTTTCATCTACATCAACCCTTCCAGCTAGTGACCGTACAGAGGATTTTAGTAATCAATGCCTAGAGAAACCAATGGACTTGGGCAGGAAACCATTTGAAATGGAGAATACTATGTATAGTTCTGCTGCCATTGCTGACAAACAGATACCTAGTATTTCTTCAAATTACCTATCAAATGGGCGAGAAGAAAAAGGCATTACTTCTAGTATTTCTTCAAATTACCTATCAAATGGGCGAGAAGAAAAAGGCATTACTTCTGCTTCAATGGAGAGGTTTGAGAAAAAGAACTCTTATAATGATTCTTCTAGTCCAAAGATGAACTCTTACTCACAAAATGATTCAGATGAGAAAGTGCAAAAAGTGTCTTCCCCACGCAGAAAAGGTTCTAAAGATGAAAGGTCCGAAAGGCCTACAAACTTGATGAAAAGGGATATCAATGGATCCGATCCCTCGACTACATGCTCCAAGCAGCAGACCACAGGGAATCACAACACTGTTACCACCGGATCTAGGCTTTATGTAGCAGAATCCACTCCTGATGGAAATATCGATGCAGTACTTGAGGTTTGTAAAATATGTATAGTTAATGACCTTTTCTTTACCAGTTTTCCGTTGAATAAAAACTAGTTTAAGTTATCTGTCTAATTTCCTTATTGTACCTTTGCAGGAGGAAGAAGCACTAATTGCGGCTCATAGGAAAGAAATTGAGGACACAATGGAGATTGTACGCGATGTAAGTTGTTACTTGCTTTTTCATAACTGCTTGTCAGGTCACTTCACGGCTTGAGTTTTTGTGCCAACAGCTTCTCTTAATGTGCTTTTCAAGTTTTTAATTAATTAAAAAAACTTTTGTATTGATGGAGTCTTTAAAATTTCAGATAACTTATATTTACTATTGTTTTGTGCTCACTAATCATGTATTGCTTTTTTGTTTTCAGGAAATGAATCTCTTGGCAGAAGTGGACCAACCAGGAAGCCGTATGGACAACTATGTAGCCCAATTGAATTATGTGCTTTCTCGCAAAGCAGCTAGTCTTGTGGGTCTCCAAGCTCGCCTTGCAAGATTCCAACATCGACTAAAAGAGCAGGAGATTCTAAGTAGAAAAAGAGTCTCCCGTCAATAAGAGAGGTCCAAGAGATTTGGATTCTCTTGTTGTAAGTGTCTTGTGAATTGTGATCTGTATTTGCATATTTGATATCTAATGATGTTGGATACATATGATTGAAGTTACCTACATGTATATACTCTCTTATGTGATATTTTAGGCATCTCAGGCCTTTGCAAATTTGCCATAAATATTCTATATAGTGTAGGTTATCTCCCAAAAAATTAATGTTTGTCCGGGCAAAGGGCTAAATCAAATTAGAACTCGGTGAGGTTGCGAAAACAAAATCTGTTTTCCCTCCTATCCGTCCTGTTCATTGAACCTATAATTTTTTTTCCTTCATATTTGGGTGCTACTATTCAGATTTTGAAGTCTGGAGTTTAGAAAAAGTCAATTTAGCCTTGTATAAAGTAAGAATGATATAATGTTGCATTCCTTCTGTTTTACGTTAATTTTAATAGTTTAACATAATTAGCAGAAAGGAATGTTGAATGTGCAATAATACACTTTTGTCTACACTCTACCACAAAAGCTCTACAAGTTTAAAATAAAGCATCTATGAAATTCTTCCTTGTAATCTTTCAAATGTCACGTGTCTGTCAAGTCAATTCTCGTATTAAAGAATAGTGACATTTGTTCTAGCTAAACTTGTAGAGTGAACATTGAGAAATGAAATATGCCATTTTCTTTAAGTCAGAAGTTCACACAAGTTTCTCACACTTCATCACATCTAATACAATTCAATTCATCGCATTTAATACAACTCAATTAAGCACAAAAGTCAAATCAGTACAAACTGATGGAGGTGGTGAGTTTCAAACTCTTTCCTCACATGCACCATCAAGATGGAAACATAAACATGGGGTGGAAACTGGACTTAATCTCCTGGCACAAGCCAACCTACCCTATTTTGCTTTATATAAAACTGTCTCACCTCCCGCCATTTTGTGTTATATAAAATTGTCTCATACTATAAAAATTTTAAGATTTTTAGTTGTGTTTGTTATCCATATCTACGACTATAAAATACTCACAAATTTACCTATCACTCAAGATTGTTTGTTTCTAGGTTATTCATCTAACCATAAAAACTACAAGTGTCTTACCAGTGGTGGGAGAATATATATCTCCAAGAATGTCATATTCAATTAACTCAAATCCCTTATTCTACCATCATCTCTCTCAACCAAAATGGTCACTTTATCATTTCCTTTCCCGATATCATATTTTCAAAACACATCACCACATACCTCACCTCATTCCAAACAATCTTGATAACTTCCTTTCATCACCACATACAAGTGCTTAATCTTCCTCCCATAACCAATCTACAAACCTACCATCCAATCAAACTCAAACCTCAATAATACCAACATAACCACACCAATTCAATCCATTCACAAATTCAAATGAGGTCCTCGCTTCTTCGGCTACTATACACACCTCTCCTACCTCCTCTCCTCAATCCTATATAATTCACTCACTGAATAACTCATTCCATGACTACTAGAGTCAAATAAGGCACAGTTGGGCCAAGACTTAATCCCACCCTTATGAGAAATTCTTGCCACCCCTAATATTATATATGTCATCCCAAATTTTATTATTTCTAAAAAATCTTTTTCAATATTTACTCTAATTTTTTATTTTTGTCCAAAAAAAATTTATTATTGATCAAAGGAGTTAAAAATCGAAATTTCCGGTATGCTAAGCAAATTTTCGATGCCAATTTTAGTCGTTTATCGGAAATTCTTTACATTCTATAAATTTCTGATTGCGATTAACCAGAAATTTCAAAATTTCATGTTGCGATTCACCGAAAATTTTAAATTTGTGTCAATTTTCAAAATTCAGCATGCGTACCGGAAATTACACAAATTTCCGATAGAAAATGTTTATCGGAAATTTGAAATTTCTGGGGGTACCGGAAATTTCAGTTATACTTGAAATTTCCGGTATGTCTGCAGATGAAATTTTATATATTTGCGTTCCTAAACCATCAACTTCAGCTTTATCTACGGATCCATGTACTGATCTTACGCAGTTCTTCATCACAGATACCGTATAATTCCTATTTAATTTACATTTTTTTTGTTTTTTTTTGTAAATTGATGAAGTTTACTAATTATATGTTGTAATTGTCAGATTTTTGAATTCATTGCTAAAGTTCTAGAATACGCACAAACTATTGGTAAAAATTATGGTATTGTTGTTGTTGTTACAATTCAGTCTGATTCTGCTAATGGACTGCGAGGGAAGAAGGATAAATTGATTATGGTTGTGACAGAGGAGGAAATTACAAAAAGAAAAATGAATTTGGGAACCCTTCTGATGGAAACTATATTATGAAGGTTAGATGTCCATTTAGACTGAGATCTATTCCAAGTGGTATCGGTTGGAATGTGATGGTTAGATGTGGGATGTATAACCATAGGCTAGATAAGGATTTGGAAGGCCATGATGTAACGCCTCATACTACCTTCGAGATTACCGACTGACCCCACAAACTTTCTAGGAAACTTCCCAGAAGGTCACTCATCCCAGAATTGCTCCAAGTTAAGCACACTTAACTATGGAGTTCTTATGAATGAGCTACCGAAAAGAAGGTGCATCTTGTTGGTATAGGTAGTACCAATTAATCCTTATAAGCATTCCTTCAACCATGCAGTCCCATACCTGCATAGCCTCAGGATCCCTCTCATTCCGATGTGGTGACCACATTTGCCCTCTTAGGCCTCGGGTGTTACACATGATATATTAGACCGTCTAAAAGATCATGAAAGCAATTTTGTGAATGGCATGAGTACAACATGACACCAAGGTACATCGTGTCTACTTTAAAAGACAAAGATCCAGAAAATCTCACGAGTATTACCCAGGTATACCGAGCTAGAGCAACATACATATTGGTCAACAGAGGTGTAATGGCAGAAATGCAGATGTTATGGAGCCTTATTCATCAAGAGAAATACATGCGTTGGACTAGAAAGAGGGGGAATTCAGATATTGTGGGTGATATCTTCTGAACACGTCCTGATTTTGTGAAGTTGTTAAATATATTTCATATAGTGTTAATTTTTGATTGCACATACAAGACAAATAAGTAAGAATTTTACTTCTCTCATCCTAAAATATGTTGAGTGATATGGTTGATTGTGTGCATTTTAATCGTTGAGGTATCGACTACCATTGTTGAAGATTGTTGGTGTTACATCAACATAATTAACATTTGCATTTGCTTTTGCCTATTTGGAACGTGAAAGGGATGAGAACTTCACATGGGCACTATAGAAGCTCAAAGAGTTGTTCTATTCAGAGATGTTGCTTCTGAATATTGTGGTGACAGACCGGGAACTTGCATTAATGAATGCCATTGATTCTGTGTTTCCAAATGCAACTCACATGTTGTGTACGTTTCATATTTCAAAAAAATGTGAACATGAAATGTAAGGAATATGTGAAATCAGAAAGACAAGAACATGTCATGGATGAATGGAACAACATCATGTATTCAAATACAGAAGATGAGTTTGATGTATATTTCAACCACTTAGAGAGTGTTTGTGGTGATATTCCATTATTTGTCAAGTATGTGAGTGAAACATGGTTAACACCATATAAAGAAAGATTTGATGTTGCATGGACTAACAGAGTCACTCATTTAAGGAACACAATAACAAACAGGTACATTGGACTAACATAAAATATGTTTATGTTTAGATATTAATTTGAAAGTTATTTAGATAATATTTCATGATTTTTAGGGTGGAGTCTGCATATTGGAGACTAAAGAACTTTTTGACAACAAGTCGTGGTGAATTATGTCGAAGTTGGGATGTTGTGAACACAATGTTGAAGTTGCAACTAGGTTCCATTAGAGTGTCGTTTCAAAAAAAATATCGTCAATATTGAGCATCAGTATAACACCTCATTCTATTTTAAATTGCACAATTTCGTCTCAAGACAATGTATACAACTCATTGAAAAGGAATTAGAAAGAGTAAAATTTGTTGGTGCAAGCAAGGAGAGGTGTGATTGTTATATTAGAACAACACATGGGCTACCGTGTGCGTGTCAGTTTGTCGATTTCCAATTTTTAGGCACCCATATACCTTTGGAATTAATTCATGTATTTTGAACGAAATTGCACATTTCAGAACATGATGTGACTCATGATGAGAATAAGTGGGATTAGAAGAAGAGTGTGAAGAGTTGAAGAGATATTCCAGTACTTTGGATATTGTGGGTCAGGGGGTGTTGAAGAAAAAAATTCGTGATTTAACTTATCCATCCACAACTTCAATGTGTCCACCTCCGGTAAAATATAAGCCAAAGAGGAGAGTTAAGAAAAGCAGAAAGGGTGAGGGGAGTAATGTGCATCGTGATCCTGGCCAGTGTGAATATGATGCAGCTTCGCAGGGGAGTTAGACTACAAAGAGGTCATGCATAAAACTAATTGGAAGTCATCAACCATGTCGATTGGTAAGCAACCTTCTACCAAATCTTCAAGAGCTGAGTTCTAGTCACAATTTTTCGCTTTCTTTTATCCATACATCGATGACATAATTGATGTTGAGAGTGATGGAAATTATAGTTTCCGTTGTATTTCATCTTTATTAGGATGAAGCAAGATGCATGTTATTCGGTTTGGAAACAGTTGGATACTCGAGTCCATTAACACGCTGACTTGTTTTCCAAGTTGTTCTATGACATTGTCTCTGTTGTTAGGACTTCGTTACAAGTAAAACACTTGGGTGTGCAAGATAGAAATAAATTTATGTCAATTCCTGATATGGGTTACCTTATTGCTTCTAAATACGGACTCGTATTTGTTTCCATTTCCATGAGACTTAACATAACATTTTCCCACTTCTCATAACTCCACCCATGTACACGAGTCGGCATACAATCATTGATGTTTATTTTGTCAACGAAAATCATTGGGCTCAGCTAAAGTTGAAACCCGATTGTCCACTACCTTCTATCAGTGTTCGTTGGAGGGAGAATTATTCTAATGA